TTTAGAACATCCCTCCCTCTTTCTTACTGTGAACCTATCAGATGACCTAACAGGGAACTACACATCACTTTCCAGGCAACCATCAACACACAGAAACTCTGAGAATCACTTGAGCACAGTAGGCCGTGCTACTTGTGCAATGCCCCATCCTTGGTACGCCACCAACCCCAGCCCAGGAATATTGGCCACACGGGCAAATCAGCCAAATGCAGGGACTGAGAGTGGATTTGTGGGCTAAATTATAAGTCACTGGAAGTAAAGGCACAACTTTAAGTTCTTTGTCTCAGGATCCTAATTAGCTCTACAGTGTTTCCTACAATTCTCTGGTAAGAATCGCCTAGAGAACTTGTTAAACCTAACTCTAACCCCCAGAGTCTGGATCAGGAAGGTGAGGATAGAGATGGACTCCAGAAATCTGTATCCCTAATAAGTCCCTGACTAGCATCAGGGACCCCTGGGAAACAGAATCCTGATAGCTGAAGGTACCAGAAGATTGTTGCTAGGTCCCCAAAACTGGCTGCACGTTAGGAACTTTAACGATCGGGATTTGTGGCCCCTGTTCTAGGCTGCCTGAATCAAAATCTCTAGAAGTGGGAACCAGGACTTCAATTTTTACACTCCTACCCTGGCTTCACATTAGAATAATCTAGGGACCACTTGAAATTACCGATACCCAAGGCTTTGTGCAAAAACATTGAATCAGAGCCTCTGGAAAGGGAATAGCTTGTAAAAGCTCCCTGGGTGATGCTGGTAAAACCAGACCACAGCTCAGCCTGTGGGAACCACAGAGGTAGATGGTGTAGGATGATGCTGACGTCATCGGATTTTCATCTTTATTCGACAAACCAGAGCAACAAGGAGCAACTACACACCGACCTGGTGGCAGACGCTGCGAGGCTGGTTCCTTTGTCCTGTCAGTGCCCCAGACTGCTCTCTGTGCATTGCTTTAAGTTGAACTACTTATTCAGGGCTTGTGAAAACTCAGAGCAGATTAAGGAGTTTGCCATCAGCAATGGGAATAAGAAGGCTGGGAGCCCAGAAAGGCTGTTCAGTCTGTTGTTCCAGTTAGGGATTTCCATATTGCTTCCAACAAGTCCTAACCACCTGATGGTTCGCTCAGGAGTAAAGAGTCTCTATCCCAGCAAAGTGGAAAGGAAACTCTGTGGCCACCGCAGCTACATTTTCACAAGCTCCTCAGAAGAGTGCTTGGCACACGGTAGGTACTCAATAAATACCTGTTGAATGACTGAATTTCCATCACCACAGCTAAAACCTTAAATAACCTTTCAATATGGTTCACTGTAGATTTTTCTCCCATTTCTGAAAAAAAATTCACTACTACAGTCATCATCACAAAGTATGATATCATGAACAGCTGGAACGAGCAGCAAAATTTCTTTAATTTTTAATGTGGGGTGGACAAATTCTACTTAGATATCTAAGTAGAAGTTTATCTGCTTAAACTTCCAGAAGGATGGGGATTTCAACACTGGCATCTCCCCACTGTGGTGGGCGCAGTAATAGCCCCCCAAAGATCCTAATTCCTAAAACCTGTGAATATATTACTTTAAATGGTAAATGAGGCAGGTACGATTATGATTAGTAAAGAAACTTGTGACGGAGAATTTATGCTGGATTCTCTGGGTGGTCCAAAGGTAATTACAAGAGTTCATAAAAGATGGAAGACGGAGGCAGAAGGTGGAAGTCAGGGAAATATTTTTAAAAGCTATACTGTTGACGCTGAAGATGGAAAAAGGGACCCGGAGCCAAGGAATGCAGGCAGCCTCTAGAAGCTGGAAAAGGCAAGGACATTGATTCTCCCCTGGAGCCTCTGGAAGGAATGCAGCCCTGCGGACACTCTGATTTTAGCCTAGTGAAAACACATTTCAGACTTCTGACCTTCAGAACTGTAAGATAATAAGTTTGTGTTGTTTTAAGCCGCTAAATCTGTGGTAATATGTTATAGCAGCAATGGAACATTAACACATCACATAATGTTTAAGGGAAAAAAGAATACAGGGAAAAATAGTGACTAAGGTGGCGTTTCTTTGCATTTCAACATAGCAAAGGGCTATGTTGGGGTCCTCTACAAAGTGATGTGGCTGACCACATCCCATCAAAACTGTGGTATGGCTTTTAAGAGTACAATGCTGAAATAAGAGTTACAGAGATGCTCACTATAAATCAAATCACAGGACTATATGATAACAGTGGCCATTTCTACCTGGTATACATGTCTGCTTTTAAAAACAAAAGGACTGATATCATTCTAAGGTGTATATGGTAACTGAGAAGAATGTCTCTCTAACCAAGGTCACAACCTGGGCTTACTCCAGGTGAAATGGCCAATATTATTGAGAGGATGGTCTCCCACCCAAACACCCTTCACCAAAATGGTAAGCCACAGTTGCCTAAAGATGGCAATGATGATAAAACCGTACAATAGCCCCCCTTCAGAAGATGTTATAAAGTCATGTTTGAAAGGGCACGCTGTCTCCCTGTCCTTCTAAGACCCGAGACTCATTCGTGGCATGGCTGTATAAGACTGGGAAGTTTGTAGCCATACAAGGGGACAAAGCAAGTGGGCTCCTAAAGGGGTTGAACCTCTGACCTCAGCTTCACAACATTATCTCTATAGCAACCAAGCTCATCAAGGGGAAATGTGTTCAATCCAGTTTTATGTGACCTAGCTCTGAGGCCAGAAAGAAACTTGAAAATTGTGACGTATTACCTCTGCCTCCTTTTCCTTTCCATAGGCTGAAAACAGCTACAAAGGCAGCAGTTATGTAGCTGATAATTATCCTGCAAGAACCTGTATGTGAGGATGGTCAATGGCCATGGCTGTTTGAGTAGTGGGCACATCACAACACGTGGACAACTAGGATAAAGATACTTGAGGATGAATTTGTTATTCCCATCTCACAGATGAGAAAACCAAGGGGCAAGAAAGGTTAGGGCTTTAGGGCTAGGAGTGGCAGTTCTGGGATTCAAAACCAAGCCTTTCTGACTCCAATGTCTGTGATTTTTGTCATCATAATACACTACCTTTAAAACAGAAGCAGAATAAGAGAAGTTTGGAGGAAGAGGCATCAGAGAATGACTATGTAGCAACCCCCTCGCAAGCCAAGAGGTTTATTTACAGCCATTCATTCATTCAACACTTTTGGAGTATTTGTTCTATCTATACTAGCAATTATACCCGTGCAACTTGGAACCACTAAAACATCAAAGGATACCAGGTAGCAGGACCTAGAGGCAGAGTAGAGAGCACCAAAATTCCAGAACATGGTCCAACAGTGAGAGAACCTGCCAACTGAGCAGCTCCAGCAATGAGTGGGGAGAGGTTGTCGACTCCCAGGAAGCAGCAGCAGCAGGCAGAGTGACTCAGCAGGTGGCAATGAAGAGGTAGTATCTTGAGCAAAGGCGTCAGATATCCTGTTTGGAAAAACACCACAACCTCAGCATGCAATAGGCTCTGAGAACAGGGCCAGGGACCCAATATGTTGTATGTTGCATATATTGCAGAAAGGACTGATCGTCTACTGGCCTATTCATCTATTCAAGTGATAGGCTAACACAGGGGAAGCGGTGGGGGGAGTGAGGGATGGCTTCAACCACCATGGCTCTTCAGCAACATTGGAAATGCCTTTTACACCCTGGATCCTAAGGGCCTGCCCCTACCGCCGTGGGGATGCTCTTCTGTTACCATAAAGAGCCCAACCACCCTTTATCATGTACATGCCTAAGTGACAAAAACAGAAATCTGAGGGTAAATCTTCAGTTCTGCCATGTCCCAAAGTGCGCTCCTTGGAAATAGGATGACCTACCACATACCCTGGTTTGTCAAAGACAGCCCCAGTTACTCACGTTGTCCTGGGATAATTACTAATAGTGTCCAATTTCCTTCTCAAAAATGTTCCAGTTTGAACCATGGTCACCTAACCCAGAAAACCGTTTCTGGGGATATTAACAGCTGTGCTGTCCTTCTGTGAACCTGTAGCATGCCAACTTATGTTGTAAACCTTGAAGAATGAAATATCGTATAAAAATTATGTTGATGAAGGAACTTCAAAGCAAAACATCTATTATTGTCTTGTGTTGTAGACTACTGTTTTGTTACATACAATTTGAGAAATACTGTGTTCAAGTAAACAAGTTTGGTGGTTGTTGGCAGAATATATGGCTTCCCAGAAATTTAACAGAGTAGCGTGTCATGAATTTCCAAGAGGGTCAAATCCTGGGCAGTTTTTCTAAACTTACTTAAACACAAAACCTTTTTTCATAAAATGTTAAAAGAGGTCAATGTTTTACAGAATACTCCCACATTTTCACTCAACAAATATGGGTGCCTAGTCTGTCCTGGAATTGTTCTAGGTCCTGGAGTCAGTAGTATAACAAGACAAAGCCCTTGTGCTCATCAGGCTTACATTCTAGTGGGGGAGAAAGGCAATAAACCTGTAAACAAATAAATATTATAATGTGGAAAACAATGATCTATCCCCCCAAGTGATGGATATTCAAAATAAAGACCACAACAGTCACCAATTCTGAGGAATATTCATGAAGCAATCTGTCTTCAGATATGAGTTGGCAATGATCCATGTCTGTCAAAAGCCATGAATCGATGGGCACCTTGTTTTCTGAGAAGTTTCCCTTAACAAGTCTCCCCTTTGAACTGAGTGTACTTCATTTGTCATTAATATATATGTGCCTCTGGGGGAGTCCATCTGCCTTTGGCTTTTGTTTGTGGACTGGATTCATAATATGTGCCTTTAATACTCTTTCCTGTCCTATCTAGACTGAGGTGCTATTTAAAATAGCATCACTTTCTTTCCAAAGACATGTGTATAGTTGCCTAGCACCCAGGGAATAAATTAGAACAAACGGAGAGTTATCACATTCTATGCCATACTTCCCACCTCCTAGGGGTGGGACGAGGAACAAGGAGGTGCTTAAAAAAAAAAAAAAAAAACATGCACACACACACACACACACACACAAAAACCTCCTACCCTTTGATTCTGGGCAGAACAGAGACTCATATTGAAATGAATAAGCCAAGTTAAAACTTTCCCTCCTTGAACAAAGCAAAAGGAAAGCCTCTTTATGTTGCAGGGGCTATAGATGCCACGGGCTGAGCCTGTCCCAAAGCTTCCCTCCACTGCTCAAAAACTAAGCCATCTTGCTGCATTTAGCACTTCTCACCAGACCACCCACCCAGACGCGGATACACAAACCACATGTGTGAGGAATGCTGTTCGGCTAGGAAATCAGTATCAGTATTTCAACCTTATTACTTGCACAGACGGCCCTTTTAGTGCGACTCATTTGTTTTATCTTTTCAATAGCTTTGATTATTTTCTTTTAATGGCCTGGATTTATCCTTTTCTACCCTTTTGAAACTTCAGAGCCCTGCAGTGGAGGCCCGCATGTGCTGGAAGACATGATTACAAGGGAAAAGGAGCAAATTGCTTTGCCTTTACTCACCACCATCTCCCCAGTCCCTGTGGCCACCTATTCCGTGCTGACGGCCCAGCGCCCTGCGTTATCATCAACGTGGACTCAAGGAGCCTTCCCATTCAGGTGGTAGATTATTTTTGCTGTTATTTGACAGCTATAGGGCCCAGTTATAATTACTGGAGTGTTTTTCCGTTTGTGCCACGTACGTCTCTCCCTACCGCGTGGGAACCACATTGGTCACCCTTCTCTAATTAAGGGGAAATTAAGACCAAGAGGCCAAGCTGACAGCCCAGGGCAAGTTAACAACCTCTGGAAAAGACTGGAAATGGCCCTAAAGGGAAGGGGCCACATAAACAGGAAGGTGTGGATACTATTAGCAGGCAGAGAAAGCAGAAGCCTTGAAGTGTGCTCAGGCTTCTCTATTTGGGTGGTATTCCAGGCAAGGAGACCCATAAAATACCTGTAGCTACTCCACTAGTCAGCTCATTAGTTTTGGACACTATATCCCCAAATTCCCAAGCAGAGAGGTCTTGGCGTCAGGCCTCAGTTGAGCTGCCATCTCTCTCCAGGACCCCTTGCGTATCCAAGTGGGACCATAATTCTGAGAGACGGTGAAACAAATGTACTGGGGGGAACTGGGGCTCAGTGCTCTTCCCGTGTGAGAGCACTTGGAGTTGACAACCTGAGTTGTCTTCAGCAGGCCCAGGATGCCCACCCTGACTTTCTCCATGCTGCAGAAAATTCCAGGCCATTATTTTAAAATAAACAAATGAATATCTATGCTGAAACAAGGGAAGAGATTAGTCCAATTCAAGCCTGGTCATTCAAAAGCTTAACTGTCAGCCAAGCCCATCTGGGACTGATGTTTCCACACCTAAAATCAGTTGCTAGTTGATAAGATACCAGGCAGTCCACTATCATCCCCTCATGGCTTGTTGCCTGAAGATAAGGTGAGTTTCTCAAATCTAATGTCTCTTTACTCTTAAAGAGCATTACATAGAGCGTTACATCCAATTCCTTGGTTCCTTGCCAAACTGAAAGTATTCTATTCTCTTTGTTGATGTAGTTTTTCTCCTTCCTGTCCAATCAAGGTAGCATTTCTTGTCATTAGAGTAAATGCAAGGCCTTTGTTTAGATTATGAACAAAACCTCTGGGAGAAATAGGGGGAAAAAGAAAAAAAAACACCATGCACAAGTAACCTGGTTTATTCCAAGAATGTACCCTACCATTTCTTGTCCAGTCTCTGCAGAGCTTAAAGAATGTACTGGTTTTAGGACACAGAAAGTGGTGCTAGACCCTAGGGACTCACAGATGAATGGGGCACGAACTGTGCTCTCAGCTGGTTCTGATCTCGCCATTCTTTCTTCCTTAAGACCAGCATCACTTCTTGAGAAAGGCTGGGGGCTCATCTTTCCTGTATGCAAAGGGAAACCAAACTTTGGTCGAATGACTCTTTACAACGTACAGTCTTACTGAATTGTTAAGAAAACGGAGCCACAACAGATTCGATATGAATTTAAGTGAAACACCTATTTCTGTCCATCTGTACTTACATTTCAACATGGGTTTTAGAGATGGGAAATACATCTGACGAATGCCTTGTAGTTCACATAATAGCATCTACACACACATACACAGTGTATCTTTCAACATAACTACACATACACACTCCATTAAAAAAAAAGATACTGACAGATTTATAAAACGTACTGGCCTTGCGCTGTTAATCTCAAGAATACAATTTACTTAATTTATTTTTGCACTGCATGGTAGCTCTGGCCACCGTTAAGGATCTGTCAGCATTTCCATCATAACTCTATTTTCAGAATACTGGAGTACAAGCGCCAAAATACATATTTACAGTTTACAGACAGACGTGGCTTTGTCTTCCTTTGACTTCTTCAATGCATCTTTACAAGGGATATTTGGGGACGGCGGTGCCTACGTGATAAAAAGGCATCATATAAAACAAAAGAGGTCAAAAGATGTAGACTTCCAGCCCGACTAGACTAAATCATGGGAATCGACTCCTCAGCATTCATGTCAGCTGTAGTAGTCATTATACTCATAGCTTTAGAGCAACAGTCCAAAGCAAGACGATAAGATGTGTGTACATATGGAGTACAAAGCATTAGTACACAAAAATGCTAAGGGTGGAAAGTAACGAGCATGCAGCAAACTAGTCCAGAGCTGGTCACCTCCACAGTGAGAAAAATGAACACACACCACCCAACACCAGCACTGACCACTTCCAACACTGAACATCCAACTCTGTCACCTGGGGAGAGTTAAAACATTTACGAATAAAGTCTCTCTTAAACAATATGTCAACTTGTTAACATGTGCGGGGCTTGAAACAGTACGTGGGATGTTACGCACGCCTAAACTGTCTATTTTAAAGAGTAGCTAGGTCTGTAAAAGTTATCAGGAGAAACATTTTTGGTGGAAGAAAGTTTTTAGTGCAAGAGAACCAAATTTATTGGCTCTTTCCACAAAATGTGGGTAATTATTCAGATTAGAGAGATTTGCTTCGCAATTTTAAAATGTTTAGGACACTCTCCTAGGACTTTTTTCCTCTACAGTTTTTGTTTCCTAATCTTAAGTTTTTATGTTCTCCCCAACTTTGACACAATATGCAAGCATATATAGACATCTCTATTTGTCTGCATAGAGAGAGAGAGGTGGATTATGGTGAAGAAACAAAATAGCTGCAAGCATTTTTGTTGCTAACACGTCTGCTATATGCTAAGATAGAAGCACCCCCTCTCATACATATCCTGCTGCGAAACCAGGGGCAAAAGGTAATTGATAAGGGGGGAAAAAAGTTCTGTACATGTTTCCTTCCCCTCAAATTACTGGGGGAAAATTTAAAGAAAGTTTATCATACTCTGGCTGGCTTAAACCATAGTCACACTCACCCAATTAATTTTATTTAGACCAAAAAATTAAACCCTGCCATTTTCCCTTTGTGCTTAAAAAAACCAAAGCCACCGTTAGAATCCACGCATGCCAAAAATCTTTTAACAGGTTTTAAAGGTGAGTGTATATAAACGTGGCAGAACTGAGTGGGTTACTTTAAGTATAACTATTTGAATTTAATGGAAAGGGGATTTATTATTTCTGCATTTAAAAATTAGACGAGAGCAAGAGTTCAACTTCTAAAAACTCAACAGCATGACTCTTATTCTATTGGAATTTCATGGAAAATTCATTTTGCTGTCTCTATGAATAACAGAAGGGCAAGTTTCCTGAATTTTATTAATTTACAGGTGATATTCTGAAGACATTTACTTTATTACCTAAATTTTAGGTTTAAAGTTTATCACTGTAATAGCTTCCCTTCTTGCTATCCTTTTTGTCTGGTTACTTATGTTAACCAGTTTCTTGGTTAGTAACCTAGGGAACAAAAAAATCTTTACATTGCCAAATCATGGTTTTGGCCACACAATTTAGATACAAAAATAAAAATGGCCCAAACTACATATATACATTTCTAGTTAAGCTATATAGATATTTTAGTTAAACCACATACATTTCTGGCTTAATTAGAATATGTGGATTAGCATTTAGAAATTTTTAAAGATTTTTAAATGTTGCAAAAAATTCCATATAAGCATTGCCCACCCCTTTCACCTGTAAAGTTAAAAAAAGAAACAAAACACAACTAAAACCACTCAATTCATCAGTCACCTAATGTCCAAAATGACTCAGAAAGTTTCTCTGTAATTAAACATTGAGAAGTGGACTACAAAACAAATGCTTCAAGGTCGGTCATGCCAATCATCAAGAGTCATAACATTATTGAAAAAGTACACTTGTCCTCAATGGGATGCTTCTGAAAAGTAATTTACAAGGAGCATGGCTGTATTATAATTTTTTTAAAGGAAAAGATAGTGTCTCTGGATAGAAAGAAACAATGTAAAAAAAAAAAAATCCCCTTGTTGAAATGCAGAAATAACTCCATTATCAATCTGCATTTACATTCCTGCCCAAAAGAATGGGTCTGGAAAGACCATTTTCTGTACAGACACTAGTTAATCTCTGTATGAAAAGACAGCATCTGGCATGGGAATAAACAAGGGAGATACTGGTCCATGAGCACACATAGAGACTTTCTTAAGGCTGATCCAGTGAACGAACCTTTGGATCCAGAAGTATTTCTTCGTTTCTTTTCTTTTCGGTTGAATTCCTAGCAAAAACTTGGAAGATGAACTGTTCTCATTTTGCATTCTCCACTTATGGAGAGAATGGAATAATGACACCAAAAGTACTTTGGTTTGGTTTTTTTTTTTCTTTTAAAAATAATTTGCTTTCTTTTGCATGCCACAGGACAGATTTCTAGTTTCAAAACAGGGTACATCAAGAACAAAAATATCCCCCCCTCCCCAACCATCTTTATATTCACCAATACAAGAAATCCTTCTGGAAACATAAGCAAGTGACTAAACAGGTATCGAACCGCTGAATCTACAAGTTAATACATAATCTGTTATGGCAGAATAACCAAGAATTTTCCCCCAAAGAAAGATTTTAATTTTTCAAATATAAAAGAGTCTAAGAGGATCATATGTGAACAAACAAAAATCTCTTCTTCCAGGTTTTATGGTAAAGATGGGTAACACACTGGCAGCCGAAGAAAGCTGAAACTCTTACTAATAAATAGAACCAAATTAAGAATTTCTACAACATTTCTTTAGAAAACAGAACCAGAATTCCTCTTTTAAAAATTATGATCCTGTGGAATGCATTCACTTCCATATTTACCTAATACCGTAACAGTAAAACAGACACAAGGATGTTGATGACATCTCAACAATGCTGGATGCAGGACGTTTACAGGTACACGTTTGTTTAAAAGTCCTACAGGTTTATTGACTAAGGCTAGACAGCAATTCGTATGATCCTATTTGGTGCATTTTCTAACCATGGTCCAAGATCATTATATGGGTACAGCCAAGGACTGGGCCCCAACTTTCAGGAAAAAGACCACAAAGAAGAAAATCAAGGTGGCTATTTGGTCCCCCCAGTTGATCATTTGTGTCCTGGGACTGGAAAAACAAGGTGGAAAATACAGACTGCAACGAGTTAAGGGACTTGGAAAAAGTTGGTGGAGAGTGGCACGGTATACGAGTAAGGTCACTGGGCTTGGGATGGCAAGGGCGCTGCATTGAAAGAGCATCCACGGGACCGAGTACTTAGAATGTCTTGTGGTGTCATTCCCTCAACGACTCTAGAATATCTGTATGCGATAATAAATAGATCAGTTATGTAATAAGGCAGTGTGTTGAATATGCATTCGTCCTGTGGAATGAACCACCACAGAGAGAGATACATGATACCATACACATTCTTTAAGTTTTCTCGTGTTGTATTTGATCTGTTTGTTTTCAAGGCTATCCAGGCTAACTCTTCCCGGGGATTTTCTTGGAGAGAAGAGTGGTCCGCTGAGGCTGGTTTGCTTAACCTCTCCTTTATCAAGAGATGATGACTGGCTTTAAAGAAAAATAAAGCTGAAGGTTGTTTGCTTTTTATTTTTTCCCTTTTGGTTGCATCATTCTGAGTGTTTCCATATAAACAAACAAGAAAAAAAATCACAACCAAAAAAAAAACAAAAAAAAAACCAGAGTTTTTGATGCATCCAGTTGTTGTAGCCTCAGGATGTTCCAGATGTTTCCAGGTAACTCTGTAGTTTACGGACTGTGGTTTTGTCCAGCGAGCAAAGGTCAAAATCAAATGTTGTGTTTGTGATATGAAAGTGTCCAGTTTCTTCTATAAGGTTCACAATCTAGAGGAGTAAATAAGATAAAGTTTAGGCAATAAGCAATAGACATCAAAAGGCAAAAAGAGAGAGAGATGGAGGGAGTCAAATATGGAACCGAGTGATTAATAGTCTCATTTATAGCAGGAAGGTCCTATACTGGTAATGGCACCAAACTACTTCTTAGCCAATTTGGTAGGTCAAAGGAATATTAACCCTTTGAATTTCTCAGTGAGAGCAGACTACCTGTTCTCATTCATAGTCTTTAAACTGATTCCTACTTCCAAGTCATCAACAGACCTTTTTACTATAGGGGTGGGAGTGAGAATGGGTAGCTAGTGGGAGATAGAATTTCAAGACCCCTTTTAAAAATTAGTTACTGACTCAACGGACAGTGGCTGTACTTAATAGATGAAAGGAAATTCCAGCCTAGAAATAACAGAACTCCTTATAGAAAAAGTACATACACGCAGACACATATATATATAATGATCATTTTTCTTTCTGATTACATTACTGTTGAAAGTTTAGAAAACTCAAGAACCCACAAAGAAAAAGAATAAAACCGTCTACATTTCCACCTCCTGAAGATCATGGGTAGTGACTAGAAAGGGGCTCAAGGAAGCCTTCTGGGGTGCTGGAACTGTTTTGTTGCTTGACTTGGGTGCTCGTTACAAAAGATGCATTCACTTTGTTAAAATTCATCTAGTTGTACATCTTGTTATGCTTTGACAAAAAATAAATAAAAACCTATATTCATTCCATTATTCACGTTCAGTTGATGCATTTGAGTATCTGGGGTGATAAGTATCATCTGTAGAAAGAAAGGGTGCATTTGTCTCCCCGTTTGGGAATAGTTATACCTCATTTCTTGAATTGGCTCCAACTTCCAGAAATATGATAAACAAAAGTGGTTGACAGAGGCACTATTGGTCTTGCCTGGCTTTCGGGAGGATGCCTCTAAGGTTTCAACATTAACAGTGATGTCGGTTATGGGTTTGAAAGAATCTTTTATCATGTTACGTGTCTTTCTATTCCTATTTTACTAATAATTTTGACAGAAATAGATGCTATGCCTGGATAGTATGGGTTCTAGGTATGTTTGTTGTGAGTAAATTGGGATGGAGGGGGGTTGATTTTAGTAAGCTTTGTCGGGGAGAGAGGAAAATCCGCATCAAGATGAAAGAAAAAGTATTTGCACAGAGAAACCCACTGGCAAACCATTTCGCTTATTTTTAGCTGTCTGTTACTCCTTTTCTATCACATGTTTCTGTTCTCTTTAGTACAATCATCTTAAAAGGAATAATTTTAACTATTCAGCCTATTATTTATTCAATGAAGTTTTAGATTATCTAATTTCCGGTTGAAAAAGCAGAATGGAAACTTTTGACCTTTTCTTCTTACAGTTAGTTTTCTTTAAAAAAAACAGTAAATTTGTGAACTATCCCCTATGGGTCAGTGGCTCTCAATAGAAAATGTGCTCCCTATTCCTGACATATTTGCCGCAGAAACATAAGACATAGTGAACCTCAATCCAATTAATTGCGCAACTCCAGACTGAGCTGTTATTGCCTTATTCAACCTCTGGAACTATTTTTTTACAGATATAACTATGGGTTTAATAACAAAATCAGTTACTCCCATTGCAAAATCATGACAGACACAGCGAACTGCCTACATAATATCCATTTATCCCTTCTTCTTTACTAGCAGAAGCTTGATTTTCTGGGAGTGGCAATATGCCCAGCTATATACTTGCCTCCGAGACCCACTTGCAGCACTGGGCAGACACTGCTATTTACAGTTTATTTGTCAGAAGTCACTGGCCTTTTAGGAAAATTTTCGAAAGGGTATGGACAATGGGCATGAGGCTTTTGCCCTCTGCTCCTCCTTCCTGTCTGGAATGAAGATGCCATCCTGGAAGTGCAGCAGTTGTCGTCCCCTCAAGTGGATGAATGCAAGATGTGAAAGATAGCAGAGCAGGAAGGCGAGGAGTCTATGTCCTCAGTAGCATCTTTTCCATCACACTGACCATGAATCACTTACTTCCAGGCTTATTATTATATGGGGTGGCGGGGAAGCGGGGGATGCAGGGCGGAGAGGGAGCCTTACTTGCTTCAGCCACTGGACTCCGCGTTCTATCACACGCATCAAGAGAATATCAGAAGGGGTGTTCCCAGTAATGGTTAAAGTGTGACATTCACATAAGAATTTATCAAGCTAGATCTTATTATTAACACTAAAAGATCTAAAATGAACCCTCATTTGCTTTATTAGTAAATAGTTAAAACAGAGCTTTAGATAAGTCAGCCACACACATCTATATACATAGAGAAACACGCATACACAGCTCTGTCCACAAACAGAAGACTTTCAAGGCAATCAAATGCTTACTATAATACATATTTAACATCGATTGAATTAAAAGTACTTTCCAGAGTAAATTATCTTTTTTGCTACATTGTGGAGAAACACTATAGACGGAGTGAAAATGTGTAAACTTCAGTATAGAAACAAACAGCCTCTTCAGAGAGCTCTTTCGGGATGAAAACAAATAGCCTTTCAATTTATACAATGGAAGCAAATGACAATTATTCCAGAGTGTGAATCCTCTCCTCAACTAGCTGGTCAGTAGGTAAATGACCAAGCACTCAGAACAGAGAATCCTGAACTTGGCATATCAAATTCTGACTCTGCTCACTATTTGAATGGCATTGGGCAGAACACAATAACCCCTGGGCCTCAGTCTCCTCATCTGTAAAATGGGGACAATGCCACCTGTTCTACCTATCATACAATGTTGTTCAGAGGATCAAATAATATACGGAACATGAAGCTTCTTTATAAACTGCAAATTGCTACACAGATGAGGGCAACATGATTATGATTACCATGTAAACATAAACTTATCCTTAATTATCTGGGAGGTAACTATATAGCACATGAATTTTCAGACCCAGTGCTTTTTCCTCTGCCCCTCATTGACTGTTAGCCATTTCATTAGCACTAAAACAAATGAAGCAGGGAAAATGCCAGAAGCTAAAGCTCAGAAAAGACCTCCTTGAAATTAAAAAAAAATTATAATAAAAGGAGGGAGGGAAGAAAGCAGGGAGAACAGCAGTCGAAGTAAAGCGGTTGAAATGACAAACTAAAACCACAATGTGGGGATAAAGAAGTACAGCCCTCCATTTTCCCTTGAAAATGACAGGTAACTCACCCCTTTAAAAAAATAAATTTCTGTGACTCAATATAGTTGCTCACTAATTACTTAGCAATAGGCAGAAGACAGAGTAATAAAAAATACCTTCTAGAAAAGGCCACTTGGTTTTAAAGCAAATAAACACATTTGCTCACTAGGATATTCGGCCCCGTCATCTCACGTGCACTGTACTACCTTGTAGGTTCTGGGGATTCAATCACAGCCCTCGCGTCTCCTCCACAACCAACACGCAAAGAAATGAAGGGGATCTTATCAATCTCACTAAATGAGCCTTGCATTTTTATGGGAGCTTATAAGAATGCATGAAGGCGGAGGCAGAGACAGCCTTAAAGTAGTAGCGGTGGCAACAGATGGGGCGTTCAGGACTATTTCCAATGGGAACAGCATTAATGATTTGAATTATTAGAGCATGAACCTACACCCTCAATTAAGTAAAGACTTCATAAAGAAAAATAAATGTGGGTGCCTTTCCATGAATCCTGAAAGAGTCAGGACATCAGAAACACCGCGTTAACGTGCTTCACTGCAATGACACAGCCACAAAGCCTAAAAGCACCACCCTGCTGGTCCCTGAAGGACGCCACGCTGCCTGTCTATAGGAATCCCCGCTCTGCTGATGCACCGTGGCTCTACCTTGGTGTCATTACCCTGCATCGTACTGCAATGATGAATCCAACTCCAAAATAATAGCAATAATAAAGGACAGACTGAGTGCAGATAAGGAAAGCAGGCAAGGGCACATGGTATATTATAGGTAGTGGAAAAGGAGGCGTATGTATACTGCTTAACTCATTCTTCAGATGATGGTTGTTGTGAAAACATCTGTGATGGATTATTTCCTGCCACGTCGGCTTTGGAGGGGGTACCACGCAGGCCTTTTTTTTTTTTTTTTAAACAGGGTAAGCTCCACTTGTTAAGTCTGTAGCTCCTTCCCCCAATCCTGGTTATAAAAGTCATAAAAGTTATTAAAAGGCAGATGCATTGTAGTCTGATTATGCTTTTTTATATTTTTTATGTTAAAAAAACAAAACAAAACAGTATTCTTTCCACCTGAAGCAGCCTCTTTGCTGAGTGGGAAGTAATGGACAAGCTTTGCTTTAACTGCTTCTGTCTGGTGGGGAGTCAGGTGTGGGGTAAGTTAGGACTTCCTGGAGAATGGCCCCAGCTATGGATGGGGAAGCCCTGTCTACCGTGTGACAACGTGTGCCCTACCCTGGGTTAAGAGGCATCCTGGAGAAAACACTTCTCAGGGAGAGTTTTCCATGTTGTTAGAACACTCTGATATACCATTTATTCCCCAACTCCCTGAAGAAAATTCTAAATGTATAATAGCTGTTACCTAAATTGCCGAACCATCCTCTAAGGAAGCCCTGGTTTTCCTCAGAGGTCTTTTGTTTTTCTCCTAAGGAGGATGCAAATCCAGACTCAGAGCTGGAACTCCAAGGGAGTTTAGAAGTGTTTAGAAGTGTTCAATCTCCCATTCCAAATGAATGTGGAACATGTGGTTTAAAGAAGAATCAAATTATTAGTCAGTCCGAGGTACAAACATCTCTGGTTTTGACTGTGTCTACTGTACTATACTTTTACCTTATGGAGAAGGGCCTTAAGAACACAGCCTCTCTTGATCCAGCGCTTTCTGTTCCTTAATCTAGATGCTGGGTGCCAGCACTGCATGTCCCCAGAATAAAACAAAGATATTAACCACCTTTTGTGAGCCAAAGAAAAGTGTCAGGCCAGATTTTTTGACAGGATGTATTTAATAGGAAAAGACCTGGGATGGGATCCTGAGCTCACCAGAAATCCTGTCTCAGGTGCTGGGGTCTGTGTGGCTAATACACAGACTCTGTGGAATGCAGTCCACAAGATGAGCAGTGCTCAAGGTGGAGAATAACATTAGTCCTCGATAGTTCTATGTTTTACAATAGGAATTAATTAAGCAGTAAACCGTGACAGGACATGCATCATGGTATCATAATCACAAGCCTCAGCTGCATTACAAGGCAAAAGGCCGAAGACTGAGAGCTTTCAACTGGCCTGGGAATGCAATTAGGGTGAAACGCTGTGGGCCCTGGAGTGCCTTTATGCCAGGTTAAAAATTCATAGATATCACTCTCTCCCTCTAGAACACTAAAATAATCCACTTGGATGGAATTCTCCAGTAAGCCACCTTCCCTCACAAGTCTTTCAAAGGTCAAAATAAAGGACAGTGTGAAATTAGGAATGCCAATGACACCCCAAGGTAAGACCCTGCTCAAAAGCCTAGTATCCTCAACTCACTGGTTGGCTTTCCTGGTGAAGGGGTCCCAACCCTGACCAAACATCTGTCTCGCTCTCCTACGAGACGCACTATTTGGGCCCAACTTGTGCTGTAATAGCTTTATTAGACAACTGCTCCACAGTGGTTCAGAGCTGGTGTTCGGGAAAGGATGGGAAAGTCAGCTAATAGATTTACCATCACCATTCAGGCAATTAGCCCCAAATAATTGGTAAGTGGCAGGCTGAACAATTTTCAGTTACACAGAAGAAAGCTGAAGAAAAATGCTATGGAAATACTAGGATATGTCTTAGGGTAAGCCACTCAAACCCTGCTCCCCGACCCATTACGCACTGAGATAGAAATGCAAGAAATGCAACTTATCCCCAATTAAGAATTATATAGGGTCTATAGTGTTTTGTTCAAATCTGAAACTCTAGAAGGGTTAAAAAGCTTATCAGACCAATCAGGGAACTTGGAAAGTTTGAGAGCATGTATTTATAGATTTAAGCAAAAATGTTCACAAAATATAAATGTGACCATCAGCCATTAAACATTAAAAAAAAAGTAACCCATACACAGCTGGGGTAGATTAAGTACTAATTTCAAGTCATTTGAAAGTAGTAAAAAAAAAAAAAAAATTCAAGCAGCAAAAAAATCTACAAACCCACCCTGGAATTTAGAACCTAATCTTCTCTTTGGGTGTTAAAGAAAAATTATTTTATCAATAGCCACTGTTAATGCAATGGATGCATGTGCTGTAACTATGAGAACTAAAAACCATCCTTCTTATCTTCTCAAAACATGGAATTGTACTCATAGAAGTTTCCCCACTCTACAAGTCTTCTACAGTTGAGTTCATAATAATAGAATGTATGTTATACAAGATAAGACAAATGAGGAAAATATTTATTTTCCTTAGAATAGCATTGGCAAAGGTTACTAAATTGAATCACAAATGTTTACAGCACTTGACTGCAATTCTTATCACTGTTTTCCCACGAAACCAGAAGCCTGGCCCCAAAGGTTTCTGCATTCCTACCTTCCCCTCCCTCAGCCCACATGACAGCATCAGACGGCTGAGGGATCAGTATATTCCAGCATCATCACCTCCCCATGTGCCCAGTTTTCATCGTACCGCGGAAGCCCCAAAGCAGACTTCTGGGTAGCCTCGGAAATGAACCCCCCCCCACCTACTTTGCAGGTGGCACTGGGCCAGTTCTGAGAGTGTGGGGTTTCCAGAAGGCCACCTGGCGTGGCCTCCAGGTGCTATTACACTAGCCCAGGACAAACTAGGCCTTGATGTTTCTGGAAAGGGTTGTGTTAAAAAGCATTTCTCACCTGCTGAAGAATGTGTCTTTCCCTCAGCGTCATCAACCTTCTGTGAAGCTCTACCAGTTCATCTAGGTATGCCTGAAAGAGAACAGCATCCCCCACAAAGAACAAGCACTTTAAGGAAGCAGTTCAAAAATAAAAGAATAAACAAATAAGAACATACAAGCAGTGGTTAGAGGTTCCACATACTACCCTCTACCCCAGGCTGTGTGGATGCACTGCCCAAGGCCTTTGCAGACCAAATCTCTCTTGGCCAACTATTAACTTTTCAAGCCAGCTTTTTATTGATAAAAAGGGCAATTCTTGCACTTATTTGCTCTCAACAAGGTTCAAGTGAGCAGGTTCCCCCTCTCCCAACAACGCCTCTACAGAGAGAAGGGGAACTCAATGAAAAATTTTGAGTTTAAATGTATTATCACAGTCTACACTCTTTTTTTTTTTTTTTTTAACTATTCTTCCATCTTAGAAGCATTTTAACAGAAAAAAGCCCAAGTTTGAATATGGAAGCACTGATGCACATTATCAATTATGTCAGGGCAAACTGAAAAGAAAAAAGCCCTCTTGGGTCCCTCCTGGTCATATCTAACATTGCTAGTGAACAGCAAGTAACAGGACAGAAGAATGTCTTATGACATTAGCATCTGCTTTGTCAAGAGCTCCCCTGAAAAGGCAGAGGTGCACCTCCGTATACTCAGGCTCATGGTCTTTGCTAGCATAAATGCCTGGATGTTCCGAGTGCCATTTGCAATGAAGGCAAAAGAAAGGTCTGTGAAGCATTAGCCAGGCCCGCCCCTGCAAAGCACGTGAGGACCCTGCCCACAACGAGACACAAACCCCCAACAGCCCTTGAAGTCAGATTTTGGATGCGTGACTGCACGCTTGGGGAAAACACACTGCACTGGGATCAGATGTCCTGCTCACTTAAGTCTGAGATTCCTTAACCCTCCACCTGCACTACAATTCTCTCACCTCCCAATTCAATGGGCCTGAAATCCCTTGGCAATCATGGATAGCGTAAGGCCAGGCTTAACACTGGAGATATAAACAACACTTGGAAAATAAACTACAAAGCATTGGGAAGAAGTGCTTGTCATTTGGAGGTTTCAGGCGTTTCTGATGAAGAAAACGAAAGGAGAACCAGCGAGGATGATCAAGGGAAACACAAAGAAACGGAAGAGGGTCAGTGCTGGAGCACTCACAGTAATGGACTGGACACCTACCTTGTCACATTCACCATTCTTTATTTGCTTATCTGATTTGCTTTGCTTTATTGGACTTTTCACTTCAAGAATCTAGGGATCAAAGAGAACACAGTTAAATTTGATTTCTAGCACTTCTTAGCTAACCAGCCACCTAAACGAAGGGACTTAAGAATGAAATGTCACAGTGCTTTGTGACCACCTAGAGGGGTGGGATAGGGAGGGTGGGAGCGAGACGTAAGAGGGAGGAGATATGGGGATATATGTATATGTATAGCTGATTCACTTTGTTATAAAGCAGAAACTAACACACCATTGTAAAGCAATTATACTCCAATAAAGATGTTAAAAAAAAATGAAATGTCATATAATAACATCACTTTCCAAAGAGCATCTCTCCTCCATACATTTTCTTTCTTCTCCTCTAATCTTACTTTCTCTGGGAAAATAAATTACGTATATGTGAAATGCTGAGTCAGGGCAATAGAACTTAAAAAAAAAAGAAGGTGACGATAAGGAAATTGATCTAAGCTTCCAAGGCTGCTTCTCTTTTGTGACAACACTCTCACACATATGTACAGCAGCTGAGTTGTAGTGGATTACAGTCCCCTCTGGCAAGAATTTTTTCTTATTCATTCTGTTGTTTCAGCATGACTACCAGTGCTCGGTACACTAAGGATGATAAGACAAACACTCAAATACCCTTTTTAGTACCTGACTTTCAGATTCTAAAAAGTACTCACTCGTATCCACCAAACTGAGGCAGCTTTGGAAATGAAGGTTGCCGTCAGTGACACTGGTTGCTCCCAACTTGGGATCCTCCCACTCAAGAAATAAAGAGCTAGGACTATCTTCTGTATTTCAAGAAATGATGTGTTTACCCATGATAAATATCAAGTGCCTTTCCTTTTATCTGACCCAATTGTAGCTTAGGTTACGAAGAGCAGTTTTGCATACTGTTCAGACTGTTGGGAGCTACGTTTCTAATTAATAAAAAGGAGAAACAAATTATTACTTAATAAATACAATTGATTTATTAGAATTTTCAAAATTGAGAATTATGAGGGAAATATTTTTAAATGGCCCTTGCTTAAAATGGTTGAGAACCACTGAAATTATTGATGAGTGTTTACAAATGTATAGAAACATAAAAAGCAAAGTAATTTGTCTTTTTCATTATATCCTCATTACCAAGTGAGTTATTATAACCTGAAGCTAATATTAAGGAAGAAAATGCAAAATAAAGGAGATATTTAAGAAGTCTCATATTCCTACTGCTCTTCTTTTTATCCATTTCTGCTTTAACACACACACACACACACCACTCTCCAGTTCTGTTCAAAGGTCTACCATCTTCCAAAACACAAAAAAGATTTTTAAAATGAGTTCACATTTATTTTGTAATTTAATTTGTAGAAAGAGCATTGATTGGGCTCAGAAACCCAAGTTCAGGTACCAGTCCCATCATTCATCATTTCTGAACCTCAAAAAATGAGATAAAATGAGAGAGATGAACAAGATAACATCCAGGTTTCCATTCAGCTGTAAAATTTTCTACTACAAATAAACATTTTATCTATTGAGGATGACATTCTAGAAAAGACCAAATACTTCTCTAAGGGTACATATTCCTTTGAATTTAGGAAAATGTATAAGTAAGAAGTGAGCTCCTAACAGAATCTTGCCTGAGAATAGCCTTTATTTCTTCATTTTTAACATTAAGATAACCAGAAGACCAATGTGACCAAGCTAACTTCAAATACAATACTTCTGGCAACACAAGGAAATTACTTAATCACAGAGGCAAAGCAATAGTTTTTTTAACATGCTTCACTGTAAAGGAAACCAAACACCCCACTACATTCAGAATTTCCTTCTCTATTGTTGAAAATGAGACCTCAAGGGAACACTGGCGCTGAGACCTAGGAGTAAGTAGGTCAGTAGATGGCACTCCTCACCAACTCAGATCTGGGGCTGGGCCCAAGCAGAGCAGATCTGCTGCGATTTCAGGGAAGAGGAAAAAACAGTGCCTGCCTGCCTTGTGCATTAGAAAATGGAATTTTGTTCCCATCATATCCCACCCCAGAATGCCCCCCCTCCATTCCAGGCCCCCAAGTCATTGCCCTCTGGGGGCCAAGTGACTGAGAACTCTCTATTTGCCATATAGAGCTGTTAACTAGGTTGAGAGAGTTCCACCACCTTCTCTTCAAAGCAGAAAATAGAACATTCAGGGCGCTGAAGTCCCACCCTACACATTCCGTGAGTGCTACAGCACAGAAGGCCCAAATACATTGAAATCCTAGTTTCTTTCTTCTGAAGCTGCAGTGGCAGGAACAAAAGCCCCGGGTGTCAGTGATCCGCCTCGAGTTACTGAGTGGCTGCCCAGAGAGGGCTCAGTTAATCTTCCTGCTTTGATCTCTCCCTGCTCCAAAATAAACAGCTTTGTCAAAACCTCATTCTGAGAGCTGAGCCATGCTGAAGACAATTGTTTTATTTATGATCATTTCTTATCTTTAAGGAAACGACTCCAGAATAGAAAAGTACGGCACCTTGTCTTCCACGGGCTGATTTCAAACCAGTTTAACTGGATAGACTCTTTTATTTCATTCAACATGCCTTGCAGGCTGATAAGTGATTTATCATATTCTGAATATTAACTCAGGTCCCATGGATCGCTTCGTTCCTTTAAGGCCCCCTCACCTCCCTCCCTTCTACACTTTCAGCCAAAAAGGATCTGGAATTTTTATTTTGTTTGAAATTCACATAACAAGGTTTGAAGTTAAAAAAACAAAAAACAAAAAACTTTGGTTAAAATGGCACAGCACTATTATTTCCTATTAAGCTGTATGGGAAGAAAAAGCCACCCAGACTGCTGAGATGCACCATTTATGCACGTGGTAGTCTCTGAAAATAGAACTGTGATGAGTTGCACTTCTCTCCTTAATCTGAGGATATGGCTTGAGAGTCAAAATTTCAAGATTATTATTTTTCTGTATTCCTTTGCGAGGACTGACAACTCAATTATTCAGCAGATGGATTCTCTGCTGATGGGTCTTTCATGTTAATGATCACTAGTAGCTCCTAACAATACTCAGGTTAATTACTTGCTTTGTTGACATGTGGCTCTCTCTCTGCTCACTTTTTTCCAAGAGTTAGAAAATGTTTGACTCAATTAGCACTTTCTCTCTTCCCTAGTCCCTAGAAGACTGAGAAAAGGTAAGGAAAACACAGCTTTGTCTGATAATTTACAGAAACTTGAGAGACCATTATCAACCTACAGACAGAGAACAGCCAAGGGATATGGAAGAAGAAAACTCAAGAGTCTTCCCATGTCACAGTTTGGCCTTCCCAGTATGTTCTCATCTATTTTATGTGAAATTTCAGATCATCATCATCATCACTATCACACACACACACACACACACACACACACACACACACACGACTAAAAAACACACTCCAGTTCTAAGACATAGGTCCAAGGAGGAAAGCACCCTGTGGTACATTTATTTCCTACCCTAAACTAGTTAAAAGTGAAAGCATATGGACCTCCTTATTATGCTTATAGGTGTATGGAGAAAATGACATATAACTGAGTATTCCTGACAGATTGATGATTCACATGTGTGAAGCTACATCTGTCAAATAAGCATATGCCAAGGAACTAGTGGTATGCTATTTAATTGGATAAAGTAATTTTTACCCTTTCTAGATAGATGATACCATTTATTTTTGTTTTCATTCTGCTAGACAGGTTAATAAAAAAAAAAGTCTGACAAAGACTCTAAACCTTTCCCTGAAACCAGGGCCAGCTCAAGACTGCCCGTCAGGAAGGGATTAGGGGCAGTTCTGTCTGCAGGGCAAGATGGGGGCTTGTTGGAGCTGCATTTATTTAGCAAGCATAGTCTTAACTCTGACTGGAAAATATGCTGAAGGAGACTACTGTGGGGTACAAAAGCACACCCTAATGCCCTTCACTCCTGGCACTGCCACTGCCCAGGAAGTACCCTAATTTTAATGTACCACCCACTGGAAGCAGAAATTAGGCCTATATAGGTTTAAACTGGATATAAAAATATATTCGAGGTCTGAATGCTATTCTTTTGCCAGCTCATACTGAAGCACACACTTATAAATATAAGAAACCCAAGTAATCTAGTTTAGCCAGCCCCGGGCTCTTCTCAACTGAGTGGCAGTGATGGTTATACCCATTGCCCTCACTTTCCCCTGAAACACCTGACTTGGAGCCACACTGGAGGTGAAAGCTGGCTGGGCCAAGGGCATGGCTGGCACTGGAGGTGGGGAAGCACATGGACTTCGGGGAGTTAGGATAAGGAAGAAGAATGCACACCTCCTTGAATGGCCAGTCTGTAATGGATGATGAGGTTGGGCCTGCAGTCACAAAGAAATTGCAGTTGAACTGTAACTGGTGAGGTAAAGAACACTGATATTATTTCTACTTAATAATGCAGGCTTTAAGTTGTAGATAAACTTTATAAATGAGGAATTTTAAATTTTGAGAGATTTTTGCTTATGCTTTACACAAAATTTAAAATGAAAAAGGCTTCGGCTATAAAATCACAGTTTCCCCATAAAACAAAGATCACAAATTCAAGGGCAAGTGTATTTAAAATCACAGGTAGGACACCTGTGAAACAGAATAATTTTACAAAACCACATTTCCTTTATTTTCAAGTTAACATTCATACAGTAACTTGAATTAAGCAATTATTGTAGAGGTCATGTGGAATCTGTCTAAACAAAGAAATAAGAATAACATGGTAATAGAGTATCAACTCAATGCATAATGACGGTTTTACAATACTTGAAAATAGTTTATTTTCGCAAGTATTTAAAATAATCATTTGTTTAACAAAAGCTCTTCATCACAGCTTTTGAAGTTCTGCCTAGACCTTATCCAAATAACTATATTCTGAGTTGATCATCAAATTCACAAGCTTTCCTTTACCTTGATTTATAACAGCAATGATAATGACCACTGTTTACTGTGTATTTTATAAACTATTCCTTACAATCCCAAGTGATAATCCTTTTTCCTGGATGAGCACACAGAGGCAGAACACCTATAATAATAACCATCTATCATCAACTGTTTGCCAAGAAGGTATGAACAATGCCGCATGCCCTTTACATATATCTTTTGTCATCCTCCCAGTAACCAGCAAGGTAGATATTAATATCCCCATTTACAAATGAGGAAACTGAGGATAAGTTAAAAGTTATTTTCCCACTAATAAATTACTGTAAATTAGTAAAACAAAGAACCAGGCTTTATATTAGCTCCAAAAGTCATATTCTTTCTTATTCACTTACCAGCCTACTTACAACTGAGGGGGAAAATATACAGAAATCAGGAATAAATGAGCAACACTTTTTGTCACCATCCCGTCCTGCATCTAATTAATTAACCCATCCAATGGAACATACTTTTCATGACAACAGAAGTTCTTTTACCCTAACTATGTTTACTCCTAAGGCTGTAGATTCCCACTTATTTGCTATCAAGAGGGACTTTGTTTAAAACTCAAGGGGTGAAAAGTTTTGCATGCTTAGTAAAAGTGATCAACCTCTAGTTCTGCAGAATCTTGAGAAGTGCAAACCCAGCAACTTACCTGGTTGTTGTTGGTTTTTAATAAGGGTGGTGGCGGTTCGTGATGTAGGGGTGAGGAAGCAGAACTGCTTTCACTATCACTGCCATCACTTAAGCTAACTCTGAAAAGAAACAGAAAAGTCATATGCGTCATTACAGACAGTTCCTGAAATATCCAAAGAATTAAGCGCAGAGAGTAAGGAATCCAAACACTAGTCACTGTGAACTTGTCTTAACTCATATAACCGCTACCACGTACTGGTGTTTTACTTTATATCTGGGATAGGGTCAAGTGTTTTATCCACTACTTCTCATTTACTAATCCCCATTTCACAGATGAGGAAACTGAGACCTAGAAAGACTAGGCCACTCACCTAGCGTCACAGAGGTAAGAGTGGAGGTTATAGGATTCAAACCCAAGCAATGGGACCTGAAGCTGGTGCCCAGCCAGTATATCTTACTGGCTTCATTTATTCATTCATCTCCCTGTTCCAGCTCCATCCACCTACTATCATAAGCATGTCACCCAAGCTTGCAGGTTAGCAAAATTAGACAGTTCACAGGTTACTACCTTTTCCTCCTTTCCCCCAGCCTATTTGCTACAGGTGAAATTTTTACAAATATGGCTAAAATACAGGCTGCAGGAATGGAAATAACTGCTAAGAAGAATGCAGACTAGAGCCCTGCAGGACTGACAGCTCAGGGTGACATCTGAGGATGGGATGTGTGAAGCCCAATACGATAGACCCATCACCAATCATTTCCATAGTGTAATGATGCAAAGCTGACCCTAGTTCTGATACAACAATTCACTGTAAATACACCACAGCAACATGAAGAGACAGCACGTTTGGGATAACTGCTTTAGAAAAATACAATATCTTTCAACAATGAAAGACAATAAAAATATCACCTCCTCCCCAATTTTTTCCTTTTCAGAACAAAATGGAATTTTCTTTTAGCCAGAATAGGAGATATTTCTTCATTCTACTCTGTTGAATGTATGCCCTCTTTTAGAAATACCCTTCAGTGTTTGCTCCCTCTCCTTGGTTATATAGTAACCTAATATAATATTCTTCTCAGAAACAGAAGATGCTTTAGAAATCAGGATAGTTTTTCTTTTGCTCTAAATAGGCAATCACATTCCAGCTCTATAATATATTCAGAGAGACAAGATACAAGACAGGAAATGAAAAGGATACACTGAGACATCCTTTTAGCAAAAACTGATGGAACTTGTTTTTCTTAACTAAATTGCATTAATGAAGTGTTCAGTTGAAGCACTGCTTTAAAATGCTTCTTGACTGAAGTGGAGGCTGAGTATTTAAACTGATTAAACAGTTGAGACTTCACAAGTGCAATGAAGATCAAACGTTATGCTGGTGGGGACTGTGCTAACAGCACATGTCAGGAGGGGAGAAAAGCCTTTCCAACAACTGTGCGTCACATCGGCCAACTCACAAACGTGTATCATCTGACCCGTATTGATTCAGGGGATGGGGCAGGAAGGGGGCAGGCCCCAGCTCATCACAGAATATGGAGATCTTCTATGTAACAATAACTTGGGAAAGTGTCTAAGTAAATGTCTAAGCGTCATGCATTTTTCACCAGCTACATGTAAGAGCAGCCAGTGGTCAGGATGTTGGTTGTTATAAAGACGCTCCTCACCTACAAGTTTCAGTCCATTTTTAGGGTTTTTTTGCCCTATCAGTTTCCTTCTTGTCAGATTAAAGACTTCTAAAGGGAGATATTATAAGGCCAAGGCCATAAGTTTCCTTATTTTCTCCTATTTAAAAGGAATACAGATGGGTGAGTTTGGGAGACAAGGCGGAGAAAGAGATATTGAGTACGGCCATAAGGAAGAATCGCTGAGAGATTTGACAGGGCATATACTCTACGGAGCCTCTTCTCAAAGGACACAAAGGAATCACCAATTAGCAACATATGGTCTGTCCAGTATGGGTTAAGATCGCATTCTTTATAGGAATTTTAGGGTAACAGATAATGGGAAAAGATTTAACGCAATAATTATAAATGTAATTTTTAAGTTCAAATGGATCCATACTTTTTCTACTCAAAACGCATTAAAGTAAGCATGCCTATTTGTTTTCCTCATGATAAAGAAATAAAATCCTCAAGGCAATTTCAAGTTGACTATTAATTATAAGTGACATGAATTACCATCTTATAATGTAGAATTATGCCTCACCGCATTAAAGCTACTTAAGGAACCTAACTGTCAGCACACTTAAAAGGAATTTATTTTCTGGAAAACACACAGGTGATCCTCGTTTTACTTAGGTCACACACATAATGTATTGAAGCCAATTATGCATTTTTAACTACAAACAGCAAACACATTTCCTCAGATTCTGAGCTACCTACAGCAATGGATCTACACAAATTCTTCAAATGAAAGCAGAGTTAATTTCAGCAGCCAGTCCTGCCACCTTGGCATTTACTTTGAAGAGCAAAGACTTCTAATAGGACTTCTTCCCTATAAAATTTATGGAGGAAAAGCCTCTCCTTTCTGAGAAAAAAGAATAAATAGTTCCCTGGAGAAGTTGCGTCAGCATGCCAAGGTACTGCAACTTAAAAAATGAATGTGACCATTTACTGCCATTGTTTTTGGTGTTGCACACAGGGAACCTCATTCCTTCCAAGACACTCACCTGCGACTTCGGCTGCCTCCTCTATTTACAGGTCTCTCCATTTCGGAGTCATTGTCATTATCCTCTGCCTCATCTGATTCTTCCTCATTGTCATCAGAATGCAGATCTTTCATTATAGACCTTAAAGGACCTGAGTAATGACAACGAAACACAGGCAATCAAACACACTTAGCCACATCAGACAGAGAGGAATGCTCACCAGCACAGAGCACTGGTTAAAAATTACCACTATCATATATATTTATACAATTTACATGACAAATTTGGTAGTTTCTGGAATGCAACCTCTGCCAAAACACTACTGCTTTCAAAACAGATGCCCGAAAATGTTCTTTAGAAAATCTCTATTTCCTAGGGATTTTTTTCTATGCATTTTTCTTCCTTAAGAAAAATCACACCTAAAAAGAAAGCTCTGTTAGTAAATTGAATGTTTTGTTGGGTTAATCCGTGTATTGAAAAGTTGAGACTAATAAATCACCATGGTTGTAACTTGTTCTTAGCAGTGCAGCCTTTGTGTGGTAGTTTTTGATCTGTTAAGGTTTAGCTGTTCCTTTTATTTCAAGGTCAATTTCAGGTCAAGCAAGCATTTCAGTCAAGTTCAGATTATAAAGTATTTCAATTCCACGGTGTAATGTCCTATCTCTGATTTTGTATTGATCTTGGACACAAGGTCTTGTTGCAACAATTCTGTGTAGCCAATTTTATTTTACTTTTTAAGAAATTCCTGGCAAAATACTGGCATGTATTTACATAAATAAGACCATGTAATAAATCAGGTGCCCAGAATATTCAAAAGAGTATCCAGTATTAGATGGAAGAGAAAAATCAATTCAGATTATTCTAGAATTGAAAAAACAAACAAACAAACAAAAAAATGCATAGTGTGGCTTATTTTCGTCGTACTACTCTAAATGTGATGAAAACAAAATAGATATTTCTGATCTTAACAGAAGAGATTGTAAAGGCAATCAAGAAAGTGAGAGAGGCATTTTCATTCTGGATTAGCCAATTCCTAAAGCCTAATCTGTGACAGGACTATCTGAGCTATCATTAACTCACTTCTAAAGTAAGTATTGACTCTCTGTAATCTCACATTCTGCAAAACCCAAATTTCTCTGCTTTTGTAATGGGCCTTTATCTTTGGAAGTCAGTGGAACAAAAACTCTGAACACCCAAAATGAACAGTGTCTTATTTTTTGCTGGAAGCTTAGCCTTAGCCTGAACACACACAACAGTTTAATCCTTTTCAAAACATACAAGGCCATCAGGAATTCAGCGTGGTCATGAAAAAGGCAATGTGTGACATGATGCTCAGAAACAAATTATTTCTTGACACTATCTCACTTTTCATGTTAAAAAAAACAAACAGAAAAAAGGAGCCCACATTTGAAGAGTTTCCACACATGAAAAAGTGGAACATATATTTAGTTAATGTTCCAGTTAAAATTTTTTTATTAAATTTCTTTATTTTGAGTTGAGTAGAAGAAAATATATTTTAAAGACAGCAAATTAACACTCACCAAAGAAAAAGGTCTACTAATCTGTAGAAAAATAATAAAATGAAAGATGTCCAGGAGGGAGACTAAAAGCCTATTTCTCTCTGTCAAAGTCTCTCAAGTCCAGCTTTCGCTATTGTATTTCCTTTGGGAACTCCCTGGAATGGGCTGTGTCTATAATCCCTTTGTAAAATGGGACTCTGATGGCAGGGACTGGAAAAAGGGGAATTTCTAAAGGTTGGCCTCATACAACAGAACAATACTCAAGTGCATTCCTAGGGGAAATAAACACAACTGCATAAAAGCCAAGTTATCATTCAAATAATAAAACAGTAGAAAATAGGCCATAAATCAACTCATTAAGATGTTATATGAGAAAAATGTCTCCTAGTTGGCCCAGGAGATGTGGATACCTTGTTGCCTGGTCTGGGACGGTGTGAAGCTGGAGCTGGAGCTGGAGCTGGAACTGGCAGGACTGGGTTGTTCAGACTTGAAAGAAGAAAAAGTTATCATCAATAAATGTACAGGACACTACATGTCTAAAATTAAAACCACTATTTTTGCTCAAACATATTTTACCCCACAGAAACAGTCTGACACTGTGTAAGAAAAATGACTGTAAATTGCCTTATGTCGAAAACCCTAACACAGAGTCAGTGTCCTTTTCATTTTGCCCATCATATTTTTATTAGATGCAGAAACAAGTATAAAAACTTAGGGATAAAGAGGGAAACACCTGGGTGTGATAGGAGGCAAGAACCTGGCTTTGATTCCACTCCTATGTTTATTGCTATCCGGATCTCTTTCTGAAAGATACCTTGATTACCCTTTCTGCAATGCTTGATTGACTCAACTGGTTAAAACATAGTGGTAATGAGGCCAAGGTCATTAGTTCAATCACATTATGAGCCAGTTAATTTCACTCTGGTCCAAGGCCATGACCCAACCCTAACCCCATTCATCCAGTTCACAAATAGGAGACCTGGCCAAGTCCTACAAATGAGTCAGGGGAAAATGTTCCCACTACTTAAAAAAACAAAAAACAAAAATAAAAAAAAACACCCTTTTAATTCCACAGCACACTGATGCAGGGAAAGAGCATCACATACACACCCCACTCTCTTACTCTCAATGCATTCCCTTCATCCTTCAGTACCCAGAATAAATTTCCACATCCTCCTTGACCCATCAACTCAGAGTTCTCGTCCTTCCCCAAACCCACTGAAAATATGGATCATCTGCTTAGAAGATATGCAGTAGTATCGTTCTACCTCCGATGTGTATGTCTTTTCTTTCTAGTAGCCTGCAAGCACTTGAAAAAGCAAGGATTGGGGCATTTGTCTTGTGCTGCTTGTTATTCCCTCATACTCAGCAACATGCATTGCATACAGCAGGCGCTCTATCTGTGACTGGCGGCACATTAGGCCCTCTGGTCCACCATCTGCCAGTTTTTGTTTTTTGTTTTTTTTGCGGTACGCGGGCCTCTCACTGTTGTGGCCTCTCCCATTGTGGAGCACAGGCTCCGGACGCGCAGGCTCAGAGGCCATGGCTCATGGGCCCAGCCGCCCCGCGGCATTTGGGATCTTCCCGGACCGGGGCACGAACCCGTGTCCCATGCATCGGCAGGCAGACTCTCAACCACTGCGCCACCAGGGAAGCCCTGTCTGCCAGTTTTTATGAGACTTTATAGTAGGTAAAGATGGGAAGAGAAAACACATGGACAGAACTGTGCAGAGAAATTGATCATGCCATCCACACATTTGAATTTTACATAGTTAAGGCCCAATTTAGTCTAAAATAACAATGTTGATAAAGTTGGTTGAAAGAGTGGACCATTTCTATTCCATTTTTAATGTGCTCATAGTTTCAACTACATACTCATGTTTTGGTTTTCTTAATTAATTTATTTCTGGCTGCGTTGGGTCTTCGTTGCTGCACCCAGGCTTTCTCTAGTTGCAGCCAGTGGGGGCTACTCTTTGTTGCGGTGCGCGGGCTTCTCATTGCGGTGGCTTCTCTTGCTGTGGAGCACGGGCTCTAGGTGCATGGGCTTCAGTAGCTGTGGCACATGGGCTCAACAGTTGTGGCCTGCAGGCTAAAGCGCAGGTTCAGTAGTTGTGGCACATGGGCTCAGTAGTTGTGTCTCGTGGGCCCTAGAGCACAGGCTCAGTAGTTGTGGCGCACGGGCTTAGTTGCTCCGCGGCATGTGGGATCTTCCTGAACCAGGGCTCGAACCCATGTCCCCTGCATTGGCAGGCGGATTCTTAACCACTGCGCCACCAGGAAAGTCCCCATACTCATGTTATCTGAGAAACATTTGAGGTCTTCTCATGGACAGGAAACATCTTTCTAGTTTGCTCAGTGGGTGACCACGTTTATCACGGCCACGTGGAGGACAAACAAACAGCACAATCAGAAGCCACTCCATGAAGGTGAGAATCTCAGTTCAGCTCGTATTACAGTTTCTCACCCCTGATTTTTTCATCTCCCATCTCAGCACTGAACCCACTACTCCCCCCTCTCCAAGCAACACCAAGCTCCACAGACTCAGACACAAGGAAGCACTTTCAGGCATTCCTAATGCACACTTCACATCCCCAGGCTGGATAGGAAAACAGGTGTCAGTAATCTACCACTCACCCTGCAGGAAAAGAGCCAGACGGGATCTCTAATGAGCAGCAGGCGGCCCACTAACCCATCACCACAGCAAGATTTCCTTGAGATTTGCAGTACACCGTCCTACACATTGCCGTTTGCGGCCCACAAAGGAGAGCTGGTGGACAAGGACAGAGGCCTGTGGGAGGTACTCTTCATTTCTGTCAAGTGGCTTTTCCACTGTCCAGTCACTATGGTGAGTCACACAACTGAAAGGGCACGCAGTCAGCAGCAACGTGCAATGCCCAGCTGCAAAACATTTCTCCCGTGGTCCACAGAGCACTCCCTTTCCTCTCCAAGTTGCTCTTTTCAGCCATGAAAAGTGTCTGCAAATGGTATTATTTTGATAGCTCTGGAAACCATTTGGGAGCCAAAAAAGAGGTTTCCTTATAGTGAGCAGAGAGAGCTCTAATCCCCATCCTGCCTGGCCAGTACGCGTCGTCGCATTGGACTTTAAAGGAGCTGTTCTGCCAGAGCTATTTGCTGAGAGTGACATTGATTAGGATCAAGAGGATGGTGGCCATCTCTCCAACTACCCCATGCTAAATGTGACCCATCTGTCTCAAGCATCATGCCAATGCCCGAACCAAATCTGGAGGCAGCCTTCTTTTAGTTTCTTAATCATAAACAAGGTTAATAATGCCACAGTTGCTAACCATCATAATAATGCCATAGTTTACTAACTGGAAAACAGTAAAAAAATGCAACACAACAGGAGAAAAAGGCTTTCCATGCAATGTTTATCATTAACACCCTGACTCTTCCACCAAACATTCGAGCAGGCTTACAGTAGAAGACATATTCATTCAATGAGAATATTAAAACGGAAAGTTGAAAGCAACAGAAGTGGATGGAGGAGGATAAAATGTTGAATGATGGGCAGAAAATTCCAATGTCCAGGAAGCTTTATGGAATCAGGACAATGACTTGTAGAATTTGAGAGCTGAGGAGACCTTTGAGATGATTGAAAGGAGTGATTCTCATACTTTCTTGAGCATTAGAGAATCAACTGGAAGACTTGTTAAAATGCAGACCCACCCAGGGTTTCTGATTCTCTAAGTCTGGGATAGTGATGAGAAACTGGATCTCTTACAAGTTCCTAGGTGATGCTGATGCTGCTGTTTTGAGGGTCAACCAGACTTTTGAGAACCACTGACCAAAGACTCAGAAATTCATAGCTGTGAATTTTCATCAGAATCAGCTGGGTGGATTCTACACATGAGGAGATTCTGATTCAATGTTTGGTGGGGTGGGGTGTGGATGCCAGCCATGTTTATATTTTAAAAGTTCAACAAATGATATTAATGAACACCACTGATATTAAGTTGATCACTTCTCTTTTTATACAGGCAAAAAACATGTTTTTGAAAGAATCTTAATTTTAAGAAAGCGTAAGAGTTTGCATCATGAGAAAAAATAGAAACTTACTGCTCTATGCAGAGATAGTATCCCTGCCTACTCTTCCAAGTATTTGGCAAGAAAGCACCCTGACAGAACACGGTTACCAGTAAATAAAAACATTTATGAAGCATGTACAATTGTGTTTTGGTGGATGGACCTTAAACTAACCTAAGCTGACCAGGACAAAATTCAACTAGATGTTAACTGCTCAAAAAGCCACTCTGCTACTAGATGAGGCTGACATAGCCCTAGATTTTATCAAGTCCAACAAAACAGAGCTGCAGCTCACTTTGTTTGTATTTTTCAAAAAAAAAAATCAGATTTACCCCCCAAAAATACAAGTCAAGGATGACTATATAAACTAGGTAAGGTTGTGTGCTTTACAAAAATATTCACCACAAACAGGGCTAGATTAAGATTTTTTTTTGTTTTTTGTACGCGGTCCTCTCACTGTTGTGGCCTCTCCCGTTGCAGAGCACAGGCTCTGGACGTGAAGGTCCAGCGACCATGGCTCACGGGCCCAGCCGCTCTGTGGCACGCGGGATCCTCCCAGACCAGGGCACGAACCCGCATCCTCTGCGTCGGCAGGCGGACTCGCAACCACTTCGCCACCAGGGAAGCCCTAGATTAAGATTTGTATAGGCCCTAAGGATTGAAGAGATTATGGTATCTTCCTTTTCCCTCCCTAGGTATGCCAAAAACTAAGTGCAGGGAATTCCAATGAGGTTCTGAATTTTCCCTTAATTTAAGACTTGTTTTTGAATATCAAAATTCTCCTCACTAAAAAAAAATTTTTGCTTCTTTTTGCTGATGCCCTAAGCACGTGTTTAGCTGATTTACTGAGTAATCACACACTAGACATGAAGTTTCTTTAAATGGTGTGCTCCACAGTGACAAAACTATAGGCTTAAGAATCTCAAATCTATTGCTCACTAATATATGTTTTTGGAAAGAACGCTTAAGCATTAGTTTCCTCATAGAGTGAGGGCAATGAACCTCACGTGGAAGCGATAATGTTGATATAACAAAGTAAAAACTCCTAGCCCACTGCTGTTACAATGGCAGCTAACCAATACTTAGTTGCTCCTATTATTTACAATAGATCACAAATTCCTCTACTGCCTAAAATAAGATATATCTTTACTACCAAAACAATGGGCCTACCAAGATTTGCAATGCAATCTTCAACATTAAATGGCTATGCAAAATCATTTTGTAATGGATTTTCTACAGAGGATTATTTTTGTCCAAGACAAATAAGAAAAACTGCATGTTTACAACTCCTAGAAGTGCTGCAAACAAAAACACCTGTCAAGGCAGGTCACATGACAGGACTTATAAAATCTGCCATTGTTCCTTAAACTGGGAGCAGACTTCCTCCTTAGGTAATCAGAAGGCAGAATTTCCATCTTTTCTAATGGGCAACTATATTTATG